AAAAATAATAAACTTCATTTTAACCTTGTTTCCTCTTCTGTTACTATAAAGCAAATGCGTCTCTTCCTCCTCCCAGTCCAGCCCCAAAGGCGGCTCGGGTGCGGCCAGTGCGGCCCGGCTGCTGCCGCAGGAGCCAACCCGGCGGCGCCTCGCTGCCGCTGCGCGGGGAGGGAGGGGCTCGGCCAGCGTGCGGGGACGTCGGATTTACTTAAGTTGATAGGAGAACATATTTCCAATCAACATTAATTTTAAAGGTTATAAAAAAATAATGCAATGTTAATGGACTTTTTTAGAGAACAGAAATACTGGAAGGAATGTTGTGAAGTAGAAATAAGCAATTATAAATGAGTTCTTGTGTGCTCATCAATTTGGGGCTGCAGAAATGGCAGATTAATTTCGTTTTAATGGCTGCATCAAGCAGTGTGGTCCATTTCTCATTCCGCTGCGCTGGGGTGGAGGTGTGGGTGGGTGTTCTGTGGCCCATAGGACCTGCATAGCAATGACGGCTTTTTGAGCTACTTGGCTTCTTGTCTGGTCTCAACTTGGCATTAACACAGTTCAAGTGAAATTGATAGATTTCAGGTGTCAAGAGCTAAACCACAAAACTTGAAAAATATGCATCTTGAGGAAAATATTTTCCTGACAGCAAATGATTCTTTGTCATTTTGCCTTTTATTCTCCCGTCCCCCTTTGACTTGGTGATGCTTTAGTGAAGCATTGTAATTGTCCTAGATCTTTCCTCAGACTGGCCTCTGAAATGACTTAGCTGGGGAGGGGCTGTGTGTGGCCCCCCGCCCCCCGCCCCCCCCCCCACCCCGACTCCAGCTTTCTACCTTCTGCTGGCAGCTTCAGCTGCTTGGGTTCCTCACCTCAGCTCCCAGCACTTCTGAGTTCCGTGCATTTTTTTTTAAATACTTAATTTTTTAGAGCAGTTTTAGGTGCATGGCAGTATTGAGCAGAAGGTACAAAACGTTCTCATAGACCCCCCTGGCCTACCACACACAGCTGTCCCCACTGCCAACAGCCCCCAGCAGAATAAGGGATACACTGGTTAAAATGAGCGAGCCTTCCCGGACACAGCATTGTCATGCTTTACATTAGGGTTCACTCTGTGTTGTGCGTTCTCTGAGTTTGAACTCATACAGCACAGACCTGTCATTTTGGTAGACAGTTTTCAGTGCTTCTAGAACTCTGTGCTCCTATTATCCATCCATACCTCTACCGGAGTTTTCCATTCGTTTAATGACGGACACCTTGGTTGCTTCCAAGTTTTGGCAATTTTGAATAAAGCCGCTATAAACATCACTGTTTTTGCTTGGACATGATTTTCAACACCTTTGAGTTAATACCAGGGACTGATTGCTGGATCACATGGTAAGAGAATGTTTTAGTTTCTAAGGAACCGCCGACCTACCTTCCGAAGCGCCTGCGCCATTGTGCGGGCGTCCCCACGGCAGCCAAGGAGAGTTCCCGGGCTCCGCGCCCTGGCAGCAGCGCCTGCCAGTGTCCTGGGTGGGGAATTCTAATGGGCATGTAGCGCTCGTTTTTTTAAAAATAATTTTTTAATTGTGGTTTAAGCATAAAATTTATGACCTTAACCAGTAAGTGCAGCTCAGTAGTGCTAATACATTCACATTGTCGGGCCACGGATCTCCAGAATTTTCCTTTCATCTTGCGAAGCGGAAGCCCTGTGCCCTAATACGAGCGGAAGGCGGGCCCTGCCCACTCCCTCTCCGGCCGCTGCTCCGGGCCGCGAGTTCCTACGCCCCCCGGCGGCGGCATTGCGGGACTGCAGCCACTGAGCCAGAGCCTCCGGGCGCGCCCGCGCAGTCAGCGCTGTAAGGTGAGTTGGCCGGGCGCTCCGCGCCCCCACGAGCTGGACGCAGGTTCTACCCTTTATTTCTATCCCCAGGGAGGAGCGGGAATTGGGAGGTTTGGGCTGCGGGCGCTGCCAAGCCTCGGGGGAGGGGCTAGGCGAGCAAAATGCCACCAACTTTCCGGAGGCCCCGCTGGGTGCTGCCGTGTTTTCTAGAACTCTCACTAGGGTCAGCTCCCTACATTGTGTTGGGAACCCAGGGCTGGGCCTTCGTGCCTGGGGGTCCCAGGGCCGGGCTCTTTCTGGTCCGCCATCTTTCAAACATTACCCTGGACTCAAGCCTCAGAGTGCAGTGTCCAGAGGATCCCTTTGCAGGTGACCCCCTGAGACAGGCGTGGTCCCTGGGGCGGGAGCGGGGAGTCGCCCCAGCAGCATCACCAGAGCAGAATCCCAGGGAGGGAGGGCTGAGTGTGTTCCTAAGAATAAATCTCGGTCACTTAGGCCATTATAGAAGTTTAACGCCAAGTGTAGAGCAGTAGCTCAGAGCAAGACTTTGAAATGGACCATAATGCCTCTCTGTAACTTTGACCTGAGTGACTCCAGGGACTCTCTCTCCTCTGTGCCTTGGGGACCATAAAGCCACCTACCTTAAAGGCTGTGGGGAGGACAGAGTGAACAGCAGTGCCTGGCACGCCACTACCTCATCAACAGAAGCTGCGGTTATGCAATCATGGCCGAAGGCCACAGGCCTCGTGATTGCAGCTTTTTCTCGCTGCCATCCGAGACAACAGGCCCCTTGTAGGGGAGGGCATTGCCTGAATCCCAGGCTCTGTCACTGCCCTGCATGTTCCCATGAGGATGACTGCTTGGAGAGAGCATGGCATCCAAAATAAAAGCTAGGTAACGCGATTTATTGAGGGTCACTGCGTGACAGACACTCGGACCATCCTGCCTGCCCCGCTAACCATCCTGTCCTGAGTAGAAAGTGGCCACCCACCGGGACAGGGGCATTGAGCTGAGGCCAGGAGAGAAGCCATAGGCTAGATCCTAGAAGTCCCCAGGGTGCCTGTGGATCCAGCCCTCCTGGTCTGTGGCATGACCTCAAAACCGGTCTTGCTGCTTCCTGGAGGCTCAGGGACCCCCAATTCCATGCCGTCCAGTCCTCAGCCAGACTTGCAAAGCCCAGGTCTCCGCCGTCTCCCTCCCACTGCCACTCACCTCCTATGCTCAGGACTCTGCAGGGGTGCTTTGGTCCCATTGCCAAATCACCTTGGTTTGTAGTGCCAAAGCCAGCCAAAGTCCTCTGTGATGTCTTCCCAGAAAGTCCTGCTCCAGCCTGGGGCATTGTCCCCATGGCCCTCAAAGCAGTCTCTGCACGGCCGGCCTGGCATGTTGGCTCTGACCTCCACCTCCTCCTCTGTGTACAAGCACCCGGCAGCAGGCACCCGCCTGCGCCTTCCCACCGCGGCCATGAGTCCCCGACCCAGCACCTAGCTCTGGGAAGCCCAGCTCGGGTGGAACAGGATCCAAGCCGAGGCCAAGGCAAGATGCAGGGAGGGCCCAGCTGGGCCCCGGCAAGCTATACCCTCTGGGCCTGGGCCTGGCAGGAGAGTGTGATGTGGGAACTTGGGGAGAGGAGGAACAGCATTCACACACCAAGCAGGATTTTACCGAGAGGCGTGAGCACCCTAATGTCTGGAGGCACGCTGGTAGAATCTGGTGCTCTTGCTGTTGGGGAGTGAGGAAGAGAACTGGGGGACCATGGGGTGGGAAGGGCTTCCTCCAGCCCTGCCTCCACTGGGGGAGGGCACCTCCAAGACCCAGGACTCCTCCAGCTGCTTCCAGAGGGAGAGCTTGCCTCTCATACCCCCGAGAGAGGTGAGCAGGAAAGAGGCAATGCCTCTTCCCCACCTCTGGGCTCCTGGGTCTTCGAATTTAAGTGGGTTTGGCTTCAGAGTTCCCACCAGCTTCACGGATTTAAAAACTCAGATCCCACCTTTATTACTCTTGAAGGAGGAGGGTGCTGAAGAGTGTGATTACTCCTCTGTGTGGACAAAGAGCCTGAGCAAAGAGCCTGAGCAAGGTGGCTGGGCAGCCAGTCCCAGTGTGGAGGTGGCACGCTCTGGTGTGAGGTGGTACTGAGCTTTGTCTCTTTCCTTGAGGGACCACAGAACTGAAGAGGGATATGGCCCAGGGACAGGGAGGAGGCAGGCAAAGGGGAGGCAGAATCCACTCTTAGGGTCCTCAAGCAGGCCTGAGAGGGGGTCGAGAAATTACCTCTGCACTCAGTTTCCAACTCTTTGGCTCCCAGAAAGAGTTTGAAAGCTGATGTTCAAGGACAAATGAGGAGGAGGAGGAAGCAGGCCCGCTGCCCTGGGGACAGTTACATCCTATACGAAGCTTGAGGAAGCTCAGCCAACAAGGGGAAGTGCACACCCCACATTTCTGCGAGTCGGGAAGGTGGACCCAGGAGTGAAGGAGATTCATTACCTGGGTGGCCACCAGACCTAGGAGGTCCAAGGGCCAGTTTGTAACAAACTTAGGAAAGGGTCCTCAGTCCACTGAACTGGCATGTCAGGGAGATCAGGGAGCTCTAAACAACACTGCTGCCTCCCCTTCTGCCCCAGTTCTAACTCAACACGGCCACCCCAGCCAAAACCCAGGAAACTGGGCGGCAGGCAACCAGGTGGGGGTCCTGAGCATCATTGCGAGCAGCCCCCGGGGGCATCGTGTCTAAGCAGCCACAGGCTCACTGAGAACTAGGAGACACGTGTGTGTGTAAGCGGTGCATGTGTCAGTGTGTGTGATTTTGTGTGTGTGAATGTGTGTGCGTGATTGTGTGTCAGTCTGTAAACATGTGGCTAGTATCTGAATGTGTTTGGTGTGTGATCCTGTGTGTTGAGTGTACTAGTGTGAAGTGAGGGGACTCTGAGGACTTCATCCCTCCCCGAGCATGGTCCCTATGGCCTCCCTATAGCACCGGGCAAACCCAGGAGGTGAAGGCCACCCAGGAGGAGGCAGGTGATGTAGGAAAGGTAGGGGCGTGTTCTGGGGACAAGCCTGTACAAACAGGTGTGAACCTAATGTGACAGGTGGCAGGATCAAGTCTAAACTCCCCAATTCTTCCTCGGAGCCTGTACAGAGCTGGGGAGCCAGACTTCTCACCTCTGCCCTTCTACCCTAGGGAACGCCTGGACGGGACAGGAGAGACAAGGACTTCTCTGGCTCCCTGCCTGTGACCTTCTCCACCCTTTTCGTGTACCCTCTGGCAGCACAATTACCAACAGACAGGTTGACTAGAGCAGAGGGCAAAGGCCAGTCTCTGCTCCTTTTATAAAGAAGGCCCAGGTTGGCCAAGCCCACAGGGTACAGCGAGGGTGCCCTGCCTGGCCTGGTCCTAGGTGCCAGGGGTAGTGAGCAAGGGGTGCCCCGAGGAGCCTGCTGGGCGCTGAGTGAGCATGGGGCTGCTGACGGGGGAGGCTCTGTGGACGCTGGCCGTGGCCGTGGCCGTCTTCCTGCTCCTGGTGGACCTGATGCCCCAGGCTGCCCTGCGCTGGTCTGCACGCTACCCGCCAGGCCCCATGCCACTGCCTGGGCTGGGCAACCTGCTGCAGGTGGACTTCCAGAACATGCTTCACTCTTTTAACCAGGTGAGGAAGGCTGGGGGTGGGCAGCAGAGGCCCTGGGACCCCACCTCACAGCAGACAGTGGGTGGGTGGCGAGTGAAGCCACAGGCTGGACAAGGAGCTGTGCCTAGAGGAGAAGGCAGGTTTGAGGGGCTTCCTGAGGGGGGCATTCGCTCAGGGCCTGAAGGATGGTTCTGATTTTCCAAAGATCAGAGAGGGTGACGGCTTGGAGCCTGGGTGGCGCTTGGCAATGGGTTTGGGTTCCAGTTGGGCTGTGTTTAAATTATGTGAGCTCGAGTCCCTTCTGTTCAGATCAAGGAGAAAGGTCTTGAAAATGGGGGGAGAGGAGTCTGGTCATGAGCCCCATTTAAATGAGGAAATCGAGGTTGAAAGAGGTAGAGAATGGGTTCAACTCTTGTTGCTGTGGGCCGTTGGGCCTCACTGCTCACCGCTATGGACCTCCGTTTCTTCACCGGTAAAATGGGATGCTAACTAGGCCTACTGACAATTTTGGTGACTTTTGTAAAGTCGTAGCTGGAAGGTCTAACAGGCGCTTGAACATATTGATGTGACCTCTCAGGCCACAAGGCCAGATAGAGTCCTTGCACCTGCTCCGGGCTGACGGCCCAGGTGTCCGCCAAGGCTAGGCCATGGGACTTGGCGGGGTGGGGCTTAACCAACACCCTCGACCCTCTGCCTACAGCTGCGGCTCCGCTTCGGGGACGTGTTCAGCCTGCGGCTGGTCCGGACGCCTGTGGTCGTGGTCAACGGTCTGGCGGCGGTGCACGAGACGCTGGTGTACCGCAGCAACGACACCTCCGACCGCCCGCCTATGCCCGTCTATAAGCACCTGGGTTTCGGGCCGCACTCTGAAGGCAAGCGGAGGGGGTCCGGCGGGGACAGGGCCCGCAGTGACTCGGGGCCCGGCAGGCCCAGGCGGCGGAGGGTCCTGGGCGTGCGGTGCCGGGGAGAGTCAGCGGATTTAATGGGGCAGCAGGTGGAGGCGGGCAGCCTGCGCTCAGGGCGCGGAGAAGGGTGTGGGCGGGCCAGCGAGCGGCTCGGTGCGCGAACAGGACCTCCCCGGAATGGGCGGCGAGGGTAGGTCAGCCTGGGTCGAGCAGACTAGGGCAAGACCTGCCGCCAGCAGGGGAGAGCTGGCGAGCGATGAGGCAGACCGAGAGTGGGCCCTGTCCGTAGTTGGCGGGGGTGTCAAGGTGGGCGCGATTTGGTGGGGGTGGCCGGGCTGGTGTGGACGGAGCAGAGACGAGGCAAACCTACACCGAAGAGGGCAGGGCTTGTGGGCCCGGCTCGGGGCAGAAACCTGCCCCCTTCGCGGGGAGGACCCGGGAGGGCGAGATCCAGGTGTGCGGGCAGAGGCGGGGCCGGGCTCGCCCGAGCCAGGCCCGTTCCCGCCCACAGGGTTGGTCCTCGCGCGCTACGGGCACGCGTGGCGCGAGCAGCGGCGTTTCTCCCTGTCCACCCTGCGCAACTTCGGCCTGGGCAAGAAGTCACTGGAGCAGTGGGTGACCGAGGAGGCCACCTGCCTCTGCGCTGCCTTCGCTGACCATGAGGGTGAGCGCGGGGGCTGGGAGGCAGGGGACAGGGGTGGAGGGTGGGCCGGGAAGGAGAGGCGCAGGCGGCACCCTGATCCGCACCGCCCTCTCCTAGGGCGCCCCTTCAGCCCAAACGCCCTGGTGAGCAAAGCGGTGAGCAACGTGATCACCTCCCTCGTCTTCGGGCGCCGCTTCCAGTACGACGACGCACGCTTCCGCAAGTTGCTGGACTTGATGGAGCAGGGGCTGAAGGAGGAGACGGGCTTCCTGCGCGAGGTGCGGGAGACGACAAGGGGTCTCGGGCGAGCGCCGAGGAAGGCAGGCCTCTGCCCTGCAAGCACCGCCCGCCCCCCCCCCCCCGGAAAGGAACTGATAATAGGTAGGGGGGGCTTTCACAGAAAGGGCGTGTGAGAGCAGGAGCCTGAGGGGAAAGGCCTAGATGGGAAGTCGCTGGCAACGGGAGTGGGAGCGGCAGGCCAGGGTCAGCCCGCCCCAGGTGAGAGCTGAGGAACCTGAACCTCCTTCACTAGAGGTCACAGAACCTACGACAGGTAGATTTTAGGTGTATCCTGGCAGCCCAGGCCAGGATAGACGGTGGAGGCCCGCCTGGAGGGAGGAACCTGGTCACTGGGGGCAAGACCTGGGGGGCAGCTGGGACCTGCCTTGTCAAGGGGAACACCTGAGCGCAGCAAAGACCACGCAGCACCCCCACGTGTGGCCCGCACAGGTGCTGAACTTGGTTCCGGCGCTCCTGCAAATCCCGGGGCTGGCTGCCAAGGTCTTCGAGGGGCAGAAGGCCTTCATGGCCATAATGGATGAGCTGATCACGGAGCACAGGGTGGCCCGGGACCCGGCCCAGCCTCCCCGAGACCTGACCGATGCCTTTCTGGATGAGGTGGAGAAGGTGAGGGGCAGCTTCCTGGGACGGAGCCGGCGGGTTGTGGGTTGTACCATGAGGGGAGCCCAGGCAAGGCAGGGCCTGTGTATTACCCAGGGATCTAGCACCCAGGCTGCTGGGTGCACTCTGGGAGACCATTTGGGGGCCTCCTCCTCCTACCCCTGAGCCCACCCTCTCTGCCTGGCCCAGGCCAAGGGGAACCCCGAGAGCAGCTTCAATGATGAGAACCTGCGCATGGTGGTGTCTGACCTGTTTAGTGCTGGGATGCTGACCACCTCGACCACGCTGACCTGGGCCCTCCTGCTCATGATCGTGCATCCGGACGTGCAGCGTGAGCCTAGCCCAGGGGCCCGGTGGGAGGAGAGGGACAGCCTGGGACCCCTGAGCTTGGTTTCACCACAGGAGCTGTAGGCAGAGGCTGGGGCCCGACCCTTCGGTCAGAGTGACCTCCCCCTCCGCATGGTCACAGCCTCCAGAGGAGGTTGAAGGCCAGCCCTTGGGCCTGACCGCTGTGGGGACACTTGTCTGTCCAGGTCGTGTCCAACAGGAGATCGATGAGGTGATAGGGCAAGTACGGCCACCAGAGATGGGGGACCAGGCCCGAATGCCCTTCACCATGGCCGTGGTCCACGAGGTGCAGCGCTTTGGGGACATCATACCACTTGGCTTGCCCCACAAGACATCCCGCGACGTTGAAGTGCAGGGTTTTCTCATCCCCAAGGTAGGCCTGTGGCCCTCCTCGCCCCAGCTCAGCGCCACCACCCATCCGGTAACCCCAAAATGGCCACTGACTGGAACCCAAGCCACCCACTCATTTCCACAGGTGCTGAATGTGCATCCCGGGTGGGTGTGGGGATGAGAACAGGGTCAGAGTCCCCGGTGGAGTGAGGAAGACAAAGATGTGTTGGAGTCATGCACGCGGGCACAGGTGGCAGCAAAGGCAGTCATGGAAGCGCGTCACTTGGCCCCATGGGGACGGACAGGCGTGTTCTGGGCAGTGTGTGTCTGCCCGTGCGTGTTTGGTGGCGGGGGCCCCAGCACCCCCCGGCCCAGACTCCACTCATGTCAGGCCTCTCCTGCCAGGGGACGATGCTTATCACCAACCTGTCATCAGTGCTGAAGGACGAGACCATCTGGAAGGAGCCCTTCCGTTTCTACCCGGAGCACTTCCTGGATGCCCAGGGCCACTTCGTCAAGCCGGCGGCCTTCATCCCCTTTTCAGCAGGTACCAGCTCAGCCCAGCTTGCCGCCCCGTCCTGAGGGGGCTGCAAGGGGTGAGCCCAGGCCCCAGGCTCACTGAGTGCCCCCCCCCGTACCCACCCACAGGCCGCCGTTCATGCCTTGGGGAGCCCCTGGCCCGCATGGAGCTCTTCCTCTTCTTCACCCGCCTCCTGCAGCGCTTCAGCTTCTCCGTGCCCGAGGGGCAGCCCCGCCCCAGCGACCACCCCGTCTATGCCTTGCTGGCAACCCCGGCCCCTTACCAGCTCTGTGCTGTGCCCCGCTAGAGGGGGGTACCAAGCCCCCAGCCCACTCCTCAGCTGGGAGTCCTGATGTACAATAAACCAGTCTGGTGGCTCAAGCCTTAGAGTCCCAAACAGTCCCTTAACCAGCCCCTGGCAGCGATGGCGGCCGCAGCAGCTGCCCCAGGGCCAGCGCCTACCCTGCCTCATCCACCCTTACCCAGCATTCGACCCCACTGGAGAGATGGGTATGCTGAGGCTCAGAAAGTGACAGCTTACCTCGGTCACCTATGGAGACCCAGTACTGGCTGCTGGGGTTGGGGACAGAGCCTGCACAGGGCCCAGCTCCCGCTGGGAGGGGCAAGACTAGGCTGCTGAGAGCTGTCAGTCAGGCCCTGTGGGGACGGGAGGGCCTCAGTGGCGCCGCTCCCCCGGCACCATGGGCCAGTCGCGCGGCCAGCACCATCGGGTCCGCTCCCCCACTTCACCTATGACACCCCAAGGCGGGGAACTCGGGAAGGCTGGGGGCAACGAGCCAGGGGAACACCCAGGCTCAGCCATCGGGCGTCAGAGCTCTCCCTGGGAAGCCTGATGGCAGCCCAGGAGCCAGCTACCTCCCGGAGCCTCTTGGTCACCCCACCATCAAGCTGACTACCTTCCCTGTCCCTGAGGGGGTGCCGACGTCCCAGTCCCTGCCAGGTAAGAGTTGCCTCGCGGCCAGGCTGGAGCTGGAGGCACCAGCCAGGGCTCGGTCCTCTGAGTGGCCAGGTCAGGCCCAGCTCTCAGTGACTTGGCCAGCGGTGGGGAATGAGCCCCTGTGGGCTGCAGGTATGTCTTAAGGACAGGGGTCAAAACTTGGAGGCCACATGGGGACCTTGGAGGACAGCCTGACTCCAGTCCTTGGTCTGTCACTATGCCAGTGACCCTGGGCTTCTGTTTCCCTTCAGCCAGTGAGAAGATTGCACCAGATGGCTGCTGGGTCCTGCCTTCCTTGCTCTGACTCCAGGGCTGTGACCTTATTAGCCCACCACCTGCCACCTGTGCCCGTACCAGCACTGACTGGTTCTGACCGCGTGCACACGGGAGCACCCAGGGTCTCTAATGACTGCCTGCTAATCAAGGCTGGGAAGACCTCCTGATGTCTTTAGTTAACAGCTTAGGGACCCCAGACGCTCAAGGCTGAAGCCCCCCACCCAACAGCATGGCAGCACCTCTGATGGGCCCCCACCAGTGTCTTCTTAACGCCCCCATGCCAGGGGGCTCCCAGCTCTCAGCACTCAGGGAACTTGGTCTGTCCCTTGATGTGGAGTTGAAGGCCAGCAGGGCCCCTTTGGCCTCTCCAGAGTAGCCACTGTCACACCAGGCTTGGTGGCAGGAGGGAGAGCTCCTGCAGCGTGTGGGAGAGGGAGTGCCAGCGGGGCCACACTGAGTCTGTGCACACGCGAGGCCCTGCGAGGAGGCAGTGGGGCCACACAGGCATCACCTCGTGCATTTATTGCACAGCTGTCATCCAGGGTTCTGAGTCTTGGGGCTGTCAGAGGCTGGGAACCAGCCGAGCCAGAGCTTCGGCTGGCGCCCCGCGGGGCCTGTCCTCCTTGCTCTCCACCTCAGAAGCTTCTACAAAACACAAACAGGCGTGCCCTGCGGGTCCCTGGCTGGGAAGAACCTGTCCCCAGGGTTGGGGTACCCGCTGATGGGGGCAGGCAGGAGGCAAGGAGGTCAGCACTGACACAAGCTATCCCTCCAGCCCAGGGAAGGGGACCGGGGTCCCACTGGCCAGGGAGGAAGCAGGGGGCTCATTCAGGAAGGCTGGGGCACCTGGCTGCCTGGCCTTTTCCCCTCCCCAGGCAGGAGGGTCTGAGTGGAGCTGGGCTCTGGGTGACCTCTGCAGGGTCGTCGAGGTGGGGGAGGCAGGCCCGCTGCAGCAGGGTGGGGCCTGCTCACTTACCAGAAGGATACACAGCAGCGCCCTCTCGGACCACTTTATTTCCCTGGGGAAGAAGAAGGGGCCCAGGGCCGCGGTGAGACAGGCTCTATGGTGTGTGTCAGGGGAAGTGAGGCCTCAGTACCTGAGAAGCCGCAGGAGGCTGGGACGCAGACCCAATCTCCATCACAGCACTGCGATGGCCGATGGCCATCATCTTGGGGGGGCCCCAGCCCTCCACCCTCCCTCCTCATGGGCCCCCCTCCTGAATGCCCTGGGGCTGTTTCAGCTGAGACGCCAGGCTTCCTTACCTCCGGGCCGGGGTTCCCCGCCACCTCCTCCTCCTCAGCCACTTCCTTCGCGGCAGGAATGGGGCTGGCCGCTTCCTCCGCTGGGGACCTCACCTCCCCTGCACTCTGAGACTGGACGACAGGCTCCTCCTTGGCGGCGGCATGGCTCAGCCCTCCCGTTGCCTCAAGGGCCGTGGCCTGCCAAGGAGAGGCAGGCGGACATAATGCGGCCGCAGGGCCCGGGCAGCCTCGTCTGTCCCCGTTCTCCACACCACACCTGGGTGTGTGCGGCTCTTTGTTTTCCGAGAAGTCCTCCCCTTCTCAGCTCAAGCTGGGCTGGGGTTGCCAGTTCCCTGGCGGGATCCTGCCGCTGCCCCTGGGACTGACTGCCTCCCGGCCATGAGCGGGGCACTCCTGGGTGTCTCGGAGCTGACAGGAGAGAGCCCCGCCCGGCCCTCTCAGGGGAGACCTCGCACACCTCAGGGGCTTGCTTCTTCCCACTCCTCACTCTGCGTCCCCACAGAGGGAAGCAGCCTCCAGTGGCCGGGAGCCCTTCCTCCACCCTCAGCCCGGCCTCTCACTGTGTCTCTCAAGGGTACCCAGGACAGCCACCCACTCCAGGGCAAGAAGAGTCCCCAGCCCATACCCACCTGAGTGGTCACAGGGTAGCACTTATCCATCGGCCCCCACACTGGCCTTAAGGTCTCGCCTATGGGCTGCATGACAAGGAGAGAGAAGAGGAGGGAAGGCTGTGACGCCTAGGGGCCTGGCGGTGCACGGGTCACCATTACTGCAGGCACGCACAGACGCCTGAAGGCCACCAGGGGTTCCGGAAACCTTCACACAAGCAATAGCTGGTGCCTTTAGAAAGATAAAACTCTGCTTTCATTAATGAAACAGGAAGGGCTTTAAAATAGAAATGTTCAAACATCAATCTCTAATTGTTGAAAAACAAAGACTATGATATGATTATAGGAATGAAAATTCCAAGCAAAGTATACAAAATAAAGTTGAAAAGAAGTATTTCCCAGAAAGAACAGAGAATATATCAGGAGGACCAAGGACTAAACCAGAGATCTTTCTGAAAGCGGGAACAGAGACAACAGACTGGGTGACAGGGATTCTAAAAAAATATTTTCCTTTTTATTTTATCAAGACAACTTCCCAAAGATGAAGGACATGAGTTTGCAGAAGAGAAGGAATCACCAAGTGCCTGCAACAATGGATGAGGAAAACCCCCCCCAGAGTGTCATCAGTGAATTTCAAAACACCGAGGACAAACAGAAGAACCTACAAACTCCCAGAGATACAAAGAAAAAAGTCTGTTTTAAGAATTCAATCAATTTCATCAGACTTAAATATCAACATTTGAAGCCAGAAGACAATGAGGATCTTCAGAATCTGTGGGAAAATCATTTCTAATCTAGAATTCTATACCCAGCCACATTCTCAGTCAAGTATTAATTAAAACCTTTTCCGACATGTGACATCACAAAGACGACCCTCAAGAACTGGCGGCGGTGGGAACCGGGGCTCCCACACAGGAGAGAAGTGGGTCTGGCACCCGCTGGTGTTCTCCTGGCCGAGGGCTGGGAGGGGGGCTTCTGCCACAGGTCCTTGGACCTGGGACATCAAAGGGGGTGTGCAACCCCAGCAGGTGTCCTGCTCACACCATCCTGTTCACGTGTGAGTGCAGAACCACATTCCAGGGACTCTCGCCTGCATCAGGTCACTTGTCCCTTTGGGTTTGCCATGGAGCCCCGAGGTGACCATATAGCCAGCCCACGAGGGGGACAGTGGGCCTGTGTTTTACCTCTTTGCCAGAAACAAAAAATTTCCCCTCACATCCTTCCTCCCTCTCTCTCCCCCTCTCTCCCTCCCTTCCTTCCTCTCTCCCCACCTCCCTCCCTGCACACACACACACACACACACACACACACGTCTGAGGCCAAGGAGCATAACCCCAGGGCATTCCCTCAGCCTTCGGGCCCTGGTGGAGGTGGGCGGGGAGTGGGGGGGGCCCTACCTGCGGTGATTCCCCAGCAAGGTCATGGTCAGGAGCTGTTTTGTCCACAGACCCCTGAAAAGAGTAGCATACCATTCCTGCAAGTAGGTGAAGGATAAATTGTTAAAATATTGAAAAGAGTGATGTAATTATTTTAAAGTGTCAGTATTTACAATATGCCAGAAGTGTTGTACTTTTAACTGTTTAAACTATGAAAGATATCAGGTATTTACTTAAAATGTGTGAGGGGATAGTTTTTCAAAAGGTATGCAAGCAGAGATTTGAAAATCATTGTGATAGGACATGACTAGTTTGTGCGGGTTTTTTGGTCGGTTTATTCGGTTGGGGCAGAGCCAGGGAAAGTATGAGCTTCAGAGTCAGACATGGGTTCAAGTGCCAGCTTCACTAGGAAGGTGCAGAGGGAGGGACGGGAGGAAGGAGGCGGGCCTGGGCTCGGAGCAGCGAGGCCAGCCCCTGGGGAGCAGGCCTGGGGGAGCCCTGGCGGGCAGCTGGGGACTGGGTGGCCCCGAGGGGAGAACCGGTTCCCTGGGTCCTGTGGTCCTCCCAACTCACCGCAGCGCCCAGGCCCTCACCTGCAAGAATGAAGGTTTGTACTACGTACAGGAACTTGAGCCTGGAAGAAAAGCAAGGCTGAGTGAGAGGCTGGAGTCTCATGTGCTCACTGGTGGGTGTGAGCACGGCCCTCCTCCCCAGTCCAGGCCCTGCTGTCCCGGGCACGGCCAGTCACCGCTGTGGACAGAGACAGCCCTCGACTCTAACAGGGCTTGGCCTGGGCTCTCTGCTCACTGCCTGGCCGGACTCTGTGCCTCCACCTACTTCAAAAACCAGACTCAAGAGCCTGGAGTAGACAAGGAGCCCCAGTTCCTCCCTCCCTCCTTTGCTCCCTTACTTATATGCCCGGTCCCTCAGGCCTCTCCAGCCAGAAGGCAGGCCTGACCTCTGTCGGGAGCCAGCAGGCGCGCTCTCGGCGCAGGGCCAGCTCTCCCCCCAGCTCTCCCCCCAGCCCTCCCCCCAGCCCTCCCAAGCCTGCCCTGCGCGCTGGCCTGGGGGAGCTGCCTACCCGGCTTAGAAGTCATACCCCGTGGCCCATATTGCCTCCTCTGGGGCCCCTCCCTTGGGGCAGACAGAGCATTTTGCCATTGCCCACGTGCACACGTACACACGCACATGCACACAGCCATGTTCCATTGTCCAGGACCAGGCCCTTCATCCCAACCCCGAGTCCCCGAGACACCCTACCAGTCAGGGGAAAAGTTATAGAGGTCTATTTTCCCTCCCTCTTTGGCCCAATAGGGGCTTCCCCTTCCTCATCAGCTGGGACACAGTAAGAGGGCCCACCCAAACTGTACCTCTCTCTCTGGCAGCATGTACCGAACGCCATTCTCAGTCTAAGAAGAAAAGACGGGCAGCAGTCAATGCGTCACGGAGCCCAGGGACACCAGGGCCCCTTTACCCCGTGGCTCGCAGGCACCACGGCAGCCTGAGGCAGTCGGGGGAGGCACCTCCACTCACGGTGCTCAGCCAGCAGGTGGCTGGCTCGTCAGGGATGGAGGCCAAACTCAGGATGGGGGTGTAAGCACTAGGACCTTGGGAAATGCTCAGAAATTTCTCCCAAGGCCTCAGAGCCCCCAACCAAAGTTCGTTTCAGCCCTTGGAGCCAGAAGGGCAGGTCCCAGGGAGAAAAATGGGAAAAGGGGGTTGGATAGAATGAAGGAAGAAGGTACAGCTCTACTGAACATTTGGTATAAAATGTCCCCAGGTGTAGGTGATGAATTATAATAGTAAATAATTAAGATTTAAAGCTACCAACACTGTAAAGTGTTTTCTGGGTTCCGCGGCAGTTTGGGAGCGCTGCGGGGAGTGCTGGGGGGACTCCCCCGCCTCCTCAACACGTTCCCTCTGGAGTCCCACCCTCGGCGTCAGGGTTCCCTGCAAACTGACACTGCTGTAAAGTCCAGGTCTCCAGTGTGAGCTGGGCCCTTGATGTGGCCCCGTGAGCCTCTGTTGCCGTTGCCGTGTGAGCGCCCATCCTCCACAGGGACCGTTTCGGAGTCTCTCTCTAAACCTCCGGCCCCCCCCTGCCCCCCTCACTTTCAGCGGAGAACACAGGCACCGTCGGATGGGCGTCCCCTTCACTTTCTACCTCCCCACCCGTGTGTTCTCTGCTTCTCACAGCCATTTCCTCCCCAAGGCAGGAGGCTTCCCTCCCTGCCTCTGAGACCGGCCCCCTTCTGTACCGCATTCCCTCTGGTCTGGACGCCTCGCCACCTGGGTGTTGGGAGAATGAGTGTCCCTTCTCATACATTCAGCCTTTCCTTCTCTAATGGCTGAATATATGCCACTTGCACACATCACTAGTCTCTTCCATTAAAAAAAGGGAAAGCCTTTTCTCTGTTCCCATATCCCTTCCTCCCTACCCCTCACCCCGTCTCCTGGAGACAGCGGTCTGCAGGGGGTACCTTCGCCCCCCCCCCTCGCTCTCTGCAGCCCGTCTCAATCTGTTTCCGTCCCTGTAAGTCCCCAAACTCTCTCACCAACGTTGCCCATGTGCTTCCAGTCACCCCACCCAGTGGGGCCCTTTCAGGGCTTGGCTCACTTCCTTTCTCTGCAGGGCGCAGGGCGGCACAGCACCTCAGTGTCCCCTCCACCAGCTTCTCCGGGGATACTGCTAGCCCCGGGTTCACAATAGGCTTTGTTATTCGGTTGTAATAGTGTGAGGGACGTGATGAGCTTTTTCTGAGAGAGGCCTGGAGGAGGAAAGCAGAGGAATGAGTCCTGAGGGGGAGGAGAGGAAGGGGAGAAGGGAGGTGCCGAGGAGGAAGGGGGGCCGAAAAGGTAGGCTGGGGCCCTAAGGGCAGTTCCCACTTGCTTAGGTGGTTTATTGCCTTCTGAGCCCACTGAACAAACACATCAACCTTGATGACATTAGCAACTTTCATCCTTTGGGCATATCCACGTTCAGGCAGCAGACTCACCTTCCCTCAGGCTCCAGGCTGAGCCTGAGAAGAGCACCCTAAGTCTAGGAGTCCAGAATACAGCCCCTCCCTTTCTCCAGGAGAGTTGTCTCTGGGTGTGTGACATCATGTCTTAGGGGGCTTTATGACAGGACAACCTTTGCCTTTGCACTTTGTCAGCTGCCTCAGGGTGGCTTTAGTCAGAGGCAGCACCTTTGTGGGTATCTCCTTGGTTCCATTCAATGCCACCCACGCTGCCTGAGCTCCTACAATGTGCCAAGCTCTATATGAAGTCCTGTAGGGACATAAAGACACAAAGGTGTATAAAACTCAGTCTTGTCTCATAAGACAATAAGCTTATTTTTTGAATAAAAAACAAGACTACAGCCAGACAATTTCTAAGTGTCATCTATTAATCCAATTAGTGGATTAATAGATGACATCTTGATTAGTGGATTAATAGATGACATCTTCCATCTTGGACCATGAATAATGCCACAGGGATAGAAAGGTAAACAGGACACAGGGTCTGCCCTTGAGGTGCTTGAAGACATCAAATAGACATCTCTGATTCAAGACAGTAACTTCTACCCTCCCCAAATTACCATAAATGTAACCAAAATATAATTACAAAACTAAGGATGTAAAACTAAGGAATGCCTGAGTTTCACATGCACATGAAACATTACCAAGATAGACCATAAAACAAGTCTCAGTAAATTTTACAGGGTTAAAGTTGCCCTGGTCAAGTACCTTGGTTGGTTAGAATCTTACCAATATGCCAAAGCAGCAGGTTCAATCCCAGGTCAGGAGAGGTGCAGGAATCAACCAATGAATGCATCGATGGGTGGAGCAACAAGTAGATGTTTGATGTTTCGCGTGTATGAGGCTCCTGTGGGTTCGTGCTCTCTCTCTTCCTCTCTCTTTCTCTTGCTCTTATTCTCTTTCACTCTCTCTCTTAAAAAGGAAAAGATTAAAATCATTTTAGGTATGTCCTTTGACCACAATAGAATTAAACCAGAAATCAGTAACAGATCCCTGGAAAATCCCCAAATATTCAGAAACTAAACAACACATCTTTAAATAATATATGGGTAAAATTAAATGTCAAAAGGAAAGTTAGAATGTTTTTTGAACTGAATGAAAAGGAAAACAAGTCAAAATTTGTGGGATGTATGCTTTGGCTGGTGTGGCTCAGTGGACTGAACACCAACCTGCAAACCTAAAGGCTGCTGGTTAGATTCCCAGTCAGGGCATGTGCCACGGTTGCGGGCCAGGTCCCCAGTTGAGGGTGTGTGAGAAGCAACAGATCTGTTTCTCTCACACATCGATGTTTCTCTCCCTCTCTTTCTCTCTCCCTTCCCCTTCTCTAAACATAAATAAAATCTTTTAAAAAATGTGTGGGATTCAATTAATGAAGTACACAGAGAAAAATTTATAGCACTAAGATACTTATATTAGAAAATAAAAAGTCTCAAATCAATGACATCAGTTTCTACCTTAAAAAAGTAAAACTGGAGGAGCAAATAAAACTGAAAGTAAGCACAAGAAAGGAAAGAAAAAAAGTGGAATTATGATCTTAATTAACCAATTTCACCCCGATAAATTTAATTTAAAATTAATTAATTAATTAAATGTGGTATAGTAGATAGGAATTAGTAAAACAATAAAGGTTATTTTTAAATCTAAAAGAAGAAAAAAATGAGAAAAAAATCAATAAAACCAAAAGGTGGTTTTGTGAGATTAGCAAAGTATATAATCCTGTAGATAGAAAAGACTAGAAAAAAAGAAATAAGACACAAATGATCAATATCAAGAGTAAGGAAGGTGACATTGATGTTGATGCTATAAATATTAAAATGATAATAAGGGAATGTTTTGAACAACACTATCCTAACAAGTGTGACAATGTAGATGAAATGGACGAAATCTTTGACAGACACAAAGTACTAAAGCTCATGCACGCAAGAAAAAATATATAACCCAGAAAATCCTATATCTGTTAAAGACATCGCATTTATTTAACTTTCCCACACAGAAAACTTCAGGCCCAGCTGGCTTCACTAGTGAATTCTACCAAACTTTTAAGAAAAAAATAATATAAATTCTACACAAACTCTTCCAGAAAAACAGGGAATACTTCCAGACTCATTCTATGAGCGAAGCAAAACCAACAAAGATGAAAACTACAGCTCAACATCCCTCATAAATATAGATGCAAATATTATTAATGAAATCTTATCAAATTGAAACCAACAACATAGAAAAAGGATAATACATCATTACCAAAGGAGTTTATTCTCAGGAATTCAAGGTTGGCTCAGAATTCAAAAACTAATTCATCATATTAACAGACTAAAAAGCAAAACCATATGATTATCTCAACAAATTCATAAAAAAAACAGACAAAATCCACAACTGCCCCTGAAAAAACTCTCAGGCAATCTCAGCAAACTAGGAGCAGTTAGAAACATCCTCAGCCTGATGAAGAACATTTATGAAAAATGTAGTGCCAGCCCCGGCCCAGTAGCTCAGTTGATTACAGTGCCATCCCCATACACCAAGGTTGCAGTCCCCAGTCAGGGCCCATACAAGAATCAACCAATGAATGAATAAATAAGTGGAACAAAAAAACCAATGTTTCTCTCTCTCACTTTCAAATATATTTTTTTAAAAAACAGAGACCTAATAGCAAATACACTCAATAGTAAAATGCTGAATGCTTTCCCCCTAAGTTCAGGAATAAGGCCAGGATGTCTGTCTTCATCATGTCTACATAACCTTATACTGGAAGTTCTGAACAGTGAACTAGTCAAGAAAGAAAAGTAAAAGGCAACCAAGTTGGAAAGGAAGAAGTAAAATTGTCATTATTTGCAGACAACATGATTGTGTATAAAATTCTATGAGGTCATCCAAAAAGCTACTAGAGTTTAGCAAGGTGAAATGACATAAGATCAATATATAAAAATCAATTATATTTGCTGTGAACCTAAAACTGCTCTGAAAATAAAAATAAATTGTATTTCTCTATAACAGCAATGAACAATTGGGAAATCAAATTTTTCAAATACCATTTGTCATAGCATCAAAAATATGAACTCCTCTGGGGGAAACCTGGCAAAAGATGTTTGCAAGACCTGTACACTAAAAACAACAAAATGGTGCCAAAGAAGACCTAAATAAATGAAGGTCTATACACTGTGGTCATGTATCAGAAGATCCAACATCATTAAGACAACAATTGCACTCTCAAATTGATCTAAAGATTTAGTGTAATCACAATAAAAATCCCAGTAAATTTTTGTTGAAATCAATATGCTTTCTAAAAAAAACATATTTTTAAAGTTTATAAGGAAATACCAAGAATTAGAATAGCCAAAAAAACTTTGAAGAAAAAAAAAGAAAGCTGGACAGTAATCAAGACAGTATGTGATTGTTGATGTCAAGATAAATGAAACAGAATAGAGTCCAGATATAGACCCATATATTTTCAATTGATTTTAGACAACAGTACAAATGCAATTCAGTGGAGGGACTATATTGTCTTTTCAATAAATGGTCAAGGAACAATTAGATATTTTTACAGAAAAGAATGGTCTTTGATTCGTATCTCATACCATATGCTAAAACTGACTCAAAATTGATCACAGATCCGAATGGAGAATTACAACTGTAAAACCTCTAGAAGAAAACACAGGAGAAAAATCTTTGTGACCATGGATTAGGCAAATATATCTCAAATATAACACCTAAAACATAGTCCATGATAGAAAAAAAATTGATAAATTGGACTTCATCAAAATTAAAATCTGGTCTTTCTAAAAATACTGTTAATAGAATAAATAGAAAGGCAAGCCAAAGAGTAGGAGAAAACATTTGCAAATTTTTGTTTTAAGTAACAATAAACATGCTAGCTGGAAACTAGCTAGATTTTTGAATAGCTGAACAACTGAAATATGATCTGTCCATATTACAAATTCTTTCCCGAAATAAAATGAAACAGATCTATAATGACCTGACAGAATGATCTTGGAGACACTTAGTGAAAAAGACGAACTACAACACAAAAGGTATGGGAGGATTCACACACACACACACAAACACACACACACACACACACACACACACACACACCCAGTATGTACACACACACACACGTCCTCCCAAAAACCCCAGTTCACAAACTCAAATATGCAAGAAATAGTGTGGGAGGATTCACACACACATACACACATACACACACACACCAGTCCCCACACACACACACATACACACCAGTCCCCCCCAACACACACACACTAGTCCTCCCAAAAACCCCAGTTCACAAACTCAAATATGCAAGAAATAGTGAAACAGCACATTTCTTTATTGTTAATTAAAACAAAAATTTTAACTCCAAGTTGAGACTCATCAAGTTGGTGGGAAATGAATCCTAAGGAATTGAGGCATTACGGCCCCTCAATTCCCTCACCCAGAATTTTGTCCAGATTCCAGGAGCGTGCGCATTGCCAAGGCCTAAGAGGGCAAGAACTATGTCTCCATCCTCTCTCTGTCCTCTATAGTTGGCTCAATGGATGGCGGAGAACATTGTGCAGGGAATGGTTGAGAAATGTATGCCACAGTCACATGGGTGAGTGGCAGGGTTAGAATCCCAGATCTGGGTCCACTACTCTGTGCTCCTGACGTCTATGATTTAGATCCATGCTTTGTAGTAGCTGCTCCTCCAGGCAGCAGCCTGAAGTGATAAAGTTATTTTCAGGGCCAGCTTCCTAAGCTTGCAATCCGTGAGGTGACACAGGGTCCTGTGCTCAGAAGGGTAATATCAGAGAACTACTGGAGGCAGGACTTTCACCTTTGACTGTAGGTAATAAGAGAAAGGCATTCTTCCTCCCGTGGTGACAGTGTGTCAATGCTAAAGCCTTAGGGGGAGAAGCAGTAATGTAACACTCCTACCCTGGCCAACCAGGGAGTTACCAGGGGAAGATGGGGGTGGGGGTGAGCTGGAGCTCCAACGCCTGCTCATTACTATGCAGGGCCCCCAGCCCTTAGTGTCACCCAAGGCTGAGTGGGGAACCTGGACTTCTACCCTTGTTACAGTAACAAGGAAGTTTTTCTACTTCCCCTGCTAGTGTCAAAGGAAGCCAGCTAAGAGAGAAAGTTTATTTATTTATTTTTTTAAAGATTTTATTCCTTTATTTTTAGAGAGAGGGAAAGGGAGGGAAAAAGAGGAGAGAAACATCAATGTGTGGTTGCCTCTCATGCGCCCCCCCACTGGGGACCTGGGCCACAACTCAGGCCTGTGCCCTGACTGGGAATCAAACAGGCAACCCTCTGGTTCGCAGGCCAGCACTCAATACACTGAGCCACACCAACAAGGACTAGAAAAGAAAGTTTAAGACCCAGAATCTCAAAACATAATCCCCAAAATGTTCAGGTTTCAATAGAAAAAAATCACTCATCATACTAAATACAAAGAACATCTTAAACTGAATTAAAAAAAGACAGTCAATAGAAGCCAACAACGAGATGACAAGAGATGACAGAATCATCGAATAAAGATTTAAGGCAGACATTATAAAAATGCTTAAACAAGCAATTATGCACATACTTGAAACAAAATAAAAAAATAGTCTCAGCAGAGAAACATTAGGTATAAGGAAGAACCAGATGGAAATTTTAGAACAATAATCAAAATAAAAAGCTCAGTGAATGGGTTCAAAACCAGAAAAGAGAGGAAATAACCAGTGAACTGGAAGATAAAAACAGATTTACTCAAGGGAGGGGGTGTGGGGGGGCGGGGGGGGGCAGGGGGGGGGGGGCAGGGGTGGGGTGTGTGTGTGTGTGTGTGTGTGTGTGTGTGTGTGTGTGAATCTTCCCAAATCTTTTGTGTTGCAGTTCATTGGAAATTACTCAATCTGAACAACAGAAAAAAAATAGATTGAGGAAAAAATGAACAG